CTCTCTCTCTCTCTCTCTCTCTCTCTCTCTCTCTCTCTCTCTCTCTCATTCAGTCTCCTCAGTTGCTGGTATTAGTCACAGCACATGTACATGTCTAGTTTCCATTCAGGTATTTCCTTAAAAAAACACATTGTTGTAATAGTAAGCTAATCATAAAGGTTTTATCTTATCTCATCTCCAAACACGTCATACATTGGCAACTTCACGGAAGTTCTGATTTACCCTTGTACATTTCCTACATTTATTGCCTATTCAAGCATATCACGTGTCATTTAACTTTACAGCATGTTATGTCATCAATACAGCTTGATTTACTAATGATTTACTAATTCCTTTACTTTAGATTGACTGATGTTGCAACATTTCCACACCAAATAAACTCACAAAAACAGGCCTCTAAAACTCCTGTGTTCCGGTTCCTCATGAGTTACCATGTACTAATTCCTCTCAGTGGGTGCGGCAGCGATCCACAAGGACTGGATGCAGGTTATAAGGTGTTTCGACGACCTAGGACCTACGGTATGTCCTTGAAATCTAGACCACCTTGGATTGTTCAACAGTAACTAAAGTCAGTGAGGGTGGCAGAGGGAATGGGTGCTGTAGGGAAATAAGCCCTTTCCTGTCATGGCACTGAAACAGATCCGAGTTCAGTGACAGACTCGAACAATGTGTTTCAAGACGCCGTGGCTACATTTTCTCTCAAGATACCAGTTTAGCAAGGGAGCTGTCTAATGTCTAGTGCGTATTATATGACGGCACCTAGCCAAGAGGTTGCAGATTGCAACCAACTGAAACTTCTCCCGTGTGGCAAGCTTGGAGGAGAACTACTGTGGCTGATACGAAAAAAAAAAACACAATTTCTATCCTACCCTCTAATTCTGCCAACAACTTTCTCAAAGGAGGAGAAATTGAAACTTCTCTACTAACTAACTTTTTAGCCAGCTAGCTGGTTAACAATAAAACATTTTGTTAAGGAATACTGAGCTGATGGCAGTTCCAGTCCTCATCTTTTATAGCCTAATAACTAGTTCCCAACAGGTGACAAGCTTCTCCATATTGATAAAACCCTATTTAATTTTGGGTTGAACTTGGATTTACTAAACAGTGATTACTTTTTAATTGTGCAACAGTGCTTTGCATCATTTCTATTTAATTTCTAAACTCTGATTAGAATTGATCTTAGATTAAATACATCCTTGTTAGTGCCACCCAGCCCAACAGTTGCTGTCATTTTCATTTTCTGCAAAACATACATTTGGGCACCTGCCCATGTTTGTGACAGACTGCATTAGAGACAGATTCCTAAGGAAAAACAATATTGGATCTGGTTTCAAGTCTGCTTTATGACATGATATCCGAGATATTCAGCATTGGCTTCACTTTTCAGAACCGGAGGTTGTCGCCTGGGGGGAACGGCAAGTCTGATATCCATTTATCTACCGTCCATTATGATAAAGTATGAGCTTGTGGCCTTTTTTGACAACTTGAAGGGGATGACTGCTCAGACTGTGCTGAACCAGAGATGGTATCAACAGAACCATAACCACATCTGTATCAAGCCTTTTGATGCAGCAAAACTCGCTGTGGTTGGTTGGGGTGCCCCCACTGGGTGCGGTTAGATGTGAGAATTCCATGCTTGTCATAGGAGACACAATGGCTGTCTCCATCTTCCACGGGACAACAGTGGTGGTTTGCAGCATTTCAAATAGAAATTGGGCAAACACATTCATTCTGGGGGTGAAATATTATGTAACGGTACAAATGGCAGGCTCATAACACACACACACACACTGCTGCAAGCCTTTTGTTGTCTTGCTTACATCTGAGAACACAAAAACATTCTGCATAAAGCTGCTTTTTGGGCCCAGCTGTCTGAATGACCAAACAATAACCCAACAAGCTCCTCGGGGTTGTTCTACGGTGTCACGCAGCTGCACGGAACAGCCACGAGTATTGGTGGGAAGAGCTTTGTGTTCAGAGGATAAATAAACTTCAGAGCCGGGCAGTCTTCTTCAACAACAACCTCAAACAGCTGTCCGCTTTGTCAACTCCTTTTTTTATTGGAGGGCTGCCTTCAATTAAATGTGTTAAACAATATGCAAACACCTCACATTGGTGTGGCTGTTCATTCGAAAAAGTTGGGATCATTATGAGATCCTGCTGCTGGTCGTAACATGGCAAATATTAGGGCTGGGTGTGTTTTAACACATTGTTGTAATTATTGTGATACTTCAATCCACCATATAGGCTATTAACTCACTTCAACCTCCATGACAAATCTCTGAGCCTCAAACTCCCACCACCCTAGGAATAGTACTTGAAGGGGATTCAGGGCAAAAGAGTTTTCATTTACATTTATTGAACCAACCAGTCATTTTCACGTCTCTTGCCGTGTGGCCCCCGGGTGAAATGATAGAACCGCCGGGAGCTAGCTGTACAGACCCGGACCGAGTGGGATTAATGGGGTGTTATGGAGCCCCCTCCGTGCGTTTTTAATAAATCCTGAGTTTGGTTCAAGTAGAAGTTTCTGCATACGTTTAGCCACCAACGAACTGTTGCTTGCCGCTCGTGACATTATTTGTCAGGACGAAAAGGTCAAATTTATTAATGATTTGTCATTAAAGAAAAGTGCGTTCTGCTAGCTTCTTCCCAGGGGTCCCATGGACGGAAATAGCTAACTTACACGAATCACCAAGGTGACCAGAGACAAAAAACCGTCCTGGCCGAAGAGGAAAGAGAGGAGAAGATAGTTTATGTATTTATTTTTTACCTCTCACTTAGCAGAGTATATTTTACCTTTAGCTTTGTTTTCGGTCGTGGTGCCTGGCGACGGAGCCGGTGCGCCGTGCTCTCCCGTCCTGTCCTCTGCTCCCTTCTGTCCTTTGGCCGGCAGCTGCTGCTCGGCTACTTACACCGTCCGGTTGTGTACGAAGCGGTGTTTTGAGACGTGGCCAGAGGCTCTTGCTGAGCTGACTGGCGAGTGGGCTGGGCGGGGAGGGGGCTCCGAGATAAAGGCAGGGTGGTGGGTCGGTGGGTGGGAGCAGGGGAGCGGGCGGGACCAGGGCAGGAGCACCGTTGCTGCTCTCCAAAAACACACAGTAGGCTGCTGTCATTAAAGACTGTGTTAAACTCAATATTAAAGTTAGGCAACATTCATCAATACAAAAGTGGTTACAAGTGACGCTGCGTGACGTAGGCTAAATGTCTCTGTGCAGAGGTTATTCAGCTGAAATGACTTATTATGCAAATTAAGTTTGTGGGTTTTAAAGGAATGGTTACTTGAACAAAGGAAACGTTTATGCTGAATTATGTGAGCATGAATAGTGTAATGATACCACTATTCACCTGACTTAAAAACTCCAAATACTAAACATAACTTACTTACTTTACTGTGCTTGTACTAAAATGTTCTGGCTTTTCTGTCAAAATATTAAAATAAAAAAAATAAAAGATCCAGGATAGTGTGAGGTTGTAATTATGAAGTTTGTGTCAAGTAATAGAGGAATTAAAACATTTAACTGACAAACCACTTACTGTGTTTTTAACTAACAGCATGTAATGATCCCCACAAAGTACAAGTATACTGCTGTGGTGGCGTGTCCTGTACAACAAAGTACTTTACTCAAGATACATACTATGTCTCGTGTGTAGTACCTGTATTTTCTTGAGGTTTTTAATTCAATGCCACTTTACTCGACTACATTTCAGAGGGAAATAGTCCACCAAAATAATTAGGTATTGTACTGTACGATATTAAATACAAAACATATGATGATCTTATAAAAGTACATCTTGCTGATACTTCCATTTCTTTCCTTAACAGTAACCATTTCAACGCTTTTACATGCAATGGATTATTTTTATAGTGTGGTATTGCTACTTCGACTTCGACCAGAGCAGGGACACCCACCCCTGCCCCCTCCACTCCTCTCTCCTCATCCAGCAAGCATTTACTGGTGACCAAAGAGCTTTAGCTTTGGCCTCAGAGAACAGCAGAACAGGATATGAGTGTGGTTTTTAACAGGAACCAGGTGCATCCTTGTTTCAGTGTTGTGTTATTTTGCTCTGGATGAATGCTGTGATCAATATCATTCCCTTCCAGTTAATTTACCAAGGCCCAGTAGAGCTACACTCAGGTCCATTCTATTTACATCTTACGCCTGCATATATATGAATATCATCTGTTTCACCTAGAGCCTTAAGCCACACACGCATGATCAGCGGTAAAACCGTGTTGCGCTGGCTGTGTCATTTGTTTTCCAAAGGGAAGTGCAGAAGCGCCCAACTCAAGTGCAACCCTTGGCGTGGCGTCAAACTTCTTTCAACTTTGACCCATCAGTCGGTAAAAAATTACGGTAAATATGGAGGAGACGGTGATCATTTTTGTGCCGGTCTACCCAGAGTTTTACGATCTGTCCCACTGTCAATATTTTGATACACACTTAAAAAACAATGTTGAGAAGAAGATCGGCTCCACAAAATGATACGGTTGCTAGTTGTGGTCGCTTACCAACGTTAGGGGCATCGTGCCTCTGCCCCCTTTAAAGTTGGCACAAGGGTAGGCACCTTTAGACATGCTGCTAAAGAATGCTACTCTCAACCCTCTTGAAGTTAAATGTCCCAAAATCATTTCAGTGTCCGGTCCACTATTATAGCTTTTTCTGGGGATTTCAACCATAGGCTATGTATATGAAGTGGACGTAGTCACCTTGACGTCAACCATTGTTTGTGGACTGCCGCTTTGAAGCCTTGAGTTCGGCATTTGTGCTGTCGCTATCTTGGTTTTTGGCCGTGGCATTTTGCAACCAGGAGTGACACGAAATGGTGGAGCTAAGTACAACCGCATGCTGACAGTTTAACACTGTGAAAGAGTTAAAGTTGTCAGACAACTCCCAGACCGGACAACACTGTGGTAGCAACCTGTCAATCACAAAGTTGGCCCTCCCTAAAGCATATCCTGCTTTATGGTCTATTTGACTCTAAATGGACCATAAGTTACTGAATGAACATCATGCTACATTAAAGAAGACTTGAAACTAGAGATTGAGGCCATAAACTCATGTTTACAATGTTTACTGAGGGAATAAATCAAGTGAGAAGTAGAGTCATTTTCTCATAGACTTCTATACAACCAGAGGAGTCGCCCCCTGCTGGACAATTAGAAAAAATGCAGGTTTAAGGCACTGAACCCCAACATGCTTGTGAAAGTGTTGCTGTCAGCGGATGTGAAGAAACATGTGTGGAAAGGCCATATAAGTGCAAGTACATTTACTTTATTTAGGTCTTGTTCACCATTGAGTGCGAATTAAAATAGTACGTGAGATCGACATTGTTCCAGATCTTTGTGGTGAAGAGTTAGACGGGGCTTACCGGTCGGTCTACGTTCCAACCCTCACCCATGGTCATGAGCTTTGGGTAGTGACCAAATGAATGATTGTGAATTCAAGCAGATGAAATGAGCCTCCTCCATATGTGTGTTTGGGCTCAGCTTTGGGTTCTGTGAATCTTCCTTAGGAGGTTTTCCAGAGACCTCCACCGAGAACATGCTGAAGAGATTATATACCTCATCTGGCTTGGGGAACACCCTTGGATCCTGGAAAATGGCACTGATGTGGAATCAGTTTGAAACAGCCACAGTAGGGCAGTAAAAAAACTCACTCACAGGCTCTGTAACCGTTTGTGTGACGGCACTATTGTTGAAAAAACGGTAACAAACCGGCTGAAAGACTTTCTTACTTTTTCTTCAATATCTCTCAACTATTGGATGCATTGCCGTGGAATTCTGTGCAGATGTTCATGGTGCTCAATTTTCACTCATCCTGTGAAAGATCTCAACAACTACCCGATGGATTGGCGTACAGTTTTGCACAGACATTCATGATTCCAGAGGATGAAGCCTAAAAACTTCTGGGACCCCCTGACTTTTCATCTAGCGCCATCGCCATGTAAAGATATTTTAATTAGTTCATAGTGCATAATTAGTTCATGAACAAATACCTGCAAAACGGATGCTAAGAAATTGTTAGCATGCTAACATGCTAAACTAAGATGGCGAACATGACAAACATTACACCTGCTTAGCATCAGCATGTTAGCATTTTTATTGGAGGAACTGTGGCTCAGGAAATAGAGTGGGTCGTCCCTCAATCAGATCAGCGATTCGATGCTCCCGTAGGTTGTGCCATCGGTGTGTGAATGGGTATGAATGTTAAATAGTCCTGATGGGCAGGTGGCACCTTGCATGGTAGCCCTGTCATCAGTGTATGAATGGGTGTGAATGGGTGAATGATGACATGTAGTGTTAAAGCACTTTGAGTGGTTGGAAGACTAGAAAAGCCATCCAAAGACACTTCCATTTACCATTTAGTTTTGAAGTTTGTTTAAAGAAAACATTATTTTTCATCCCGCCTGCGAGTTTTGGGGTTCAGAGGGTTAAAAAAAACTGCATATAGTCATATTTGAGAAGCTGGAACTGGAAATGCTTTATGCTTAAATAAACTAACTGTTTCAGCTCTAATACTCTTATATAAGGACAGAACTGTTAATAGTATATTATGAAAAAGAGGGCATATCAAAACAGTCTGAATCATTGGCTAGTGTATTTTCATCTAATAGATATGACAGAATTGCAGTATGTGAATGGGTATGAATGTTAGATAGTCCTGATGGGCAGGTGGCACCTTGCATGGTAGCCCTGTCATCAGTGTATGAATGGGTGTGAATGGGTGAATGATGACATGTAGTGTTAAAGCGCTTTGAGTGGTTGGAAGACTAGAAAAGCCATCCAAAGACACTTCCATTACACACCATTATACCATTGTACACACACCATTATGTGAATCATTCTGTTGAAAAATCAAATCCAAAAATTCCGGGGAAAGAGTGATACATTACCAGCAAGTAATGCTGCTGAGTGTGGTTTATTGTCAGGAGTGACAGTCAGAAGTTACAGTAAATGCAAAATCCAAGCTCTGTTGAATTTAACTGAATGGACCCACAGTGGGTTGACTAACAGAGCTTAGTTCTGCTCTATGTTCAACTGCCTTGAATCTACTGCTGAAAAAAGGTGTGTTTGAGTGTGACATATTTCAAACAGCCCATTGTTGTAAATATGTTGCCACTCAACACTAGTGTTACCTGGAACAGCAACAATAAATGAACTGTTTTCATGATTTCTGTAGGCCGGGCTGCAGCATGCAGGGTTGTGATACAGCTGCTCTCCCTTTCGCTTTGCTGCTGAGCTTTGATGAATCAAATGCCTGTCTGCTACCCGATGGTCCCTGCCAACCTCAAGGAGGGAAGAGGGAAATGTTACACAGCTGCACTGATACACCCAGATGTTTCCTGCATGCACAGACACAGTGACTTTACCAGCCTAGTCATCTCTGACAATGTTAACTGTTCACCTGAGGCTTCAGGCTGCTACCTGACTGTAAACCTGCAGGAGGGGAGGGGCAACACATCATCAAAAACGGCATGAGGAATTCATGCAAACAGGTAGAATGCAAAAATGAACTGATTTTGTAAACATCAAATTCAAAGCAGAAAACTGTGAGACTTTTTTTTCAACCGCTGAAAGCAGGGACAAAATTCATACTAAAATGTTTCATAAACAGTGTGGGACACTACATAAACACTAACATTGTGAAAGGTTTCACACTTTTCCGACTGTTAAATGTCCCTCTTTGTATGCATCTTTGTCACAAGGACTCACAAAAGCTGTTTTTCAAAGGTTTTGTACAAGATAAAAATCTTTAAAGCTTGGGTTTACAAATATTGATTAACCACAGGCCCTGAAATCCTTTCTGAACATTTCACAATTTTCAAAGCAGAGGATAAAAAAAGCCACTCGGGATTTTGGTCCGTGCTGAATTGCCACACAGTGGCACAGTGGTCCAATAATTGTTCTGAGTCTCAACTGTGTGGCCATTGTGTACAATTTAACAAAACAATAATTGAACTCTTTGACCTTGCCTGCCTCATCTACTACTATATGCCAAATACAGCAACATGACGTATATTTTGGATAATGTGGCTATCTTCTTGTTTGGTTGGAAAATTAGAAACGTGTTATACAAGACCATTGTGCATTGTTAGTAGGTTAGCTTGCCGACGTTAGCATTTTGCTCAAAGCGCCGCTGTGGCTAAGTGCAGCGTCACAGAGCAGTTAGCCTGGCTGTCGTCTCCGATACCAACAATACCACAATACAGTATATTAGCTGGTTAAGTAGTAAACAAGGCAATTCAAATTGTATAGAGATATGGTGCCTTCTCTCCAATATAATGGGACTATATGTCCCTTGGTGTTGCGGCGCTCAAAACGCCTAAAAAATGAATTTGAAAACTCAACAGCAATGTCACTTTTCAGAAATCATGACCCAGTTACTTAAGATATTCCACAGACCTTGTTGTGAACAGTTTCATTTTCTTGAAAAATAGTTTGTTTCGATTTTGGGTGAACTCTCCCTTTAATGCCAGATATTACCATAAACACACAACAAATGATTTAATTCTCCCCTTTATCCTTGTAGTCTTGTTTTAAATACCCAATTGTACAACCTCTATCTCTCTAGCTGCACTGTACTAATCGACATGAAGGCGGCTGCAAAATGGCAAAAAAGAATTTAAGAGCAGATGAGACCTTTGGGTGCTGAAATTGAGCAAACAGGGTGTGCCTCTTACTAGCCAGTCTGGTCCAACCCAAACTGGCAGATGGAGTGGCTTAAATGAGCTAATGCAGTGGTACTGGTCCAGAACTACTCCCACGCACACGCACACACACACACAATCCATGCACATATACCAACAAACATGTCCTGGGACAGTGAGTCAAAAGGGAAAATGAAAACCATGACTCTTGCCTTGTGCTGCAGATTATCCTCCCACAAAGCACATCACATTATTTCACAAGCCATTATTAAATGGAAATAAAGCAGTAAAAAAAACATCCTCTAAAGTTGTCATTCAAAGATTATGTAGTCCGTTTTTAAGGTCAGCTGTGCTGTATGTGGTGTAGTGGAAAATTAATCAGTCACATATTAGTAATTAAGAGCATTATTTAAATAAAATTCCAAGGTCTGTTAATCGACCCTTCTTACTATTTCTGTTCCATAGTTGCGCTACGATTTTCATTATTAAATAGTCAAACTGTTTTCTTTGTTGTTAATTACAAATGAATATCTTCACTTAAAAAAAAATGAAAAAAAGTGTGGTGGAAAATATTCCTATACCCGCTTTGCGTGAGTCTTTTACTGCTGAAATACATAATACCAAAAACCAGGTTGTCTTTTGTATTTATTCTCTGCGCAGAGAAGGTTCAATCATCACAACAGAATGGGTAGAGTCTCGGTGAGGAAGAACCAAGAACAAAGTGAACAAGCTTTCTTTATACAGAATGAGCAAAGGTGGGGGCCGATGGCTCAGACTTTTGGTCTCAGACTGATAGGAACAACAATGAAAAACAAACAGTCAGCAACCAAAACAAGCGTCCCAAAGGCCTTGGCGCTGGAACATTCTCATACAACACAGTTAGTTATCTTTGTGAACAGGAAAGGGCGAATTCTTCTTTTGCACAACAGAGACACGGTGAAGTTCAACAAAGTTCAGAGCAAAATTACTTATGCATGAATACAATATACTGAGTAGAAATATACTGTATACTACGTAAAAAATGACCATTACAGAAGTCAGTATGAGAAAGCAATAAAGGGTGTTTCGGGAAAGTGTGAGTCACTTCAACTAGCAGAGGTGGTATGAAAAGCCATAAATCTCCACCCAAAATATTATGCAGTTTCCTGCAGCAGAATGCAATATTGGCCGTGGACAGACACAGAGGTGCACACTCATTCTCTCACGCAAGCACACACACTGTGTGACTGTCTGATTCTCCTGGTGGAGATAAAGATGAAATTAAATAAAAGCATTGCAATTGAAGACAATACCAAACGTTAAAATGTACAAATCGTTTTTTTATTATCCATCACCTAAAGCTTTCTACAACAGAAAGAATGAAATGAGCTCATCCACAAAGAACTTCTTTAATCACTGTAACAAGTTGTCATAAACATACAAATAGTAAAAATATAGAAAATCTGTAAGTAATTTCTAGAAATGTCCTTCAAATAGAGGGAAAAGAAGAAATGCATTTTCATATAAATGAATTTGTGCATGTTTGTATAAAATACAGCCAAATCATGAATACAGCAAAGGGAATACAGCAAGTTCTTGCTTGGAGGTTCATTGCTCATTACTGGTTAAGTGAAGAGGACAAACTTAAAAAAGTGAAAAAAGGAAGAATTTGGTGTTTATGTGTTTTGTATTTGCAAAACTGACCTAATGGCTATTAGCAAAGCATCAGTGTTGGTGAGTCCCTGTGAGACATGTAGTCTGTTCTTGTATACCCGGAGGTCAAAGCACCGCACCGCTGCATCACGACAGATGAGGTTTTCCCGCTGGTACAGGTACGGTGGTTAGAACCTGGTTCTGGAAAACAAATCTCTGCACGCGTTCAAAGACCCAGAGGAAGACGAGGAGGACGCTGACATATTGAATCCAGGCAAATTTGATAGTTTCCCAGAAGCCAGGCCGATAGGTGGCAGGAAATAGGTTAAGGTGTAAATAAAGAGGATAACTTCACAGCAACATCCTGAACATTTCTGTAGCTTCAAATAAATATTTGCGAACAAATGCATCAGAGCTACTCCTTGCTTTGTTGACATAGGTGCGCCGGTCAGGCTTGCACTAAATGACCAGGATGGATGGATCCTGCTCATTTATGGAACAGTTCAAAGACGATGAGGAGCAGCTTCAACTTGACCTAAACAAAATAAACAACTGCAATGCCGATCGTTTCAGCTTTGTTTGCCAAAGTATCTCGCAGTGCAATGGAGGTGAAAGGAATTAGTTTTTGTGGAGCTAACTTGAAAAATGACAATGACAATGGTTACTCATGATGCCTCACAGGGAGCAGTTTTCATTGGGAATTTTTCTACCAAAAGATGGATACATTTTCTTGAAGGGATAAATAGCAGAGAGAAAGAAATTGCGATCTGGACATGTTGTTTTCCAGTAATAAACAAATGTCCGGCGCTAGGTGCTGTAAAATATTCAGATTAGCCTCTCTCCAGTCATAAGTCCTGTAAGGACGAAGTTCATGTGCTGTTTTACATTGTGTACACAAACACAGACAGACGGATGTTACCCTGACTATATAATATGCACTTATACCATGAACCACGGTAGAGTGATGTAGATCTTCTTGTGAGGTCAGCCTCTTCACTGAAATACACAAATACTGTGGGAAATATTTTGTGCAGATGCAGATCACAGTATTGTATTTTCAACATTCAATTAAATGATCAATGGACTTGCATTTGTAAAGCGCCTTTCTAGTCTTCCGACCACTCAAATACATTTTTCCCAAAGATGGTATCTGTCATTTTAGATAGTTGTTATCAGGCTTATGTCTGCTGAAGTCTTCAGAAGCGATGTAAAAGAACAACACCTTCCTGCATTTATTAAAGGATATCTAATGACCTCCATAGGGTACCGGATCTCAGCGTTGAGCTGAAAGGGAGAGCCTGCAGCGCGCCCCACAGTCCAGACTGGCATGGGACAGGACAGTACTGTGGTCACTATGGTAGGAAAAAAAGAAAGGGACGAAGAGACAGAGAGAGAAAAGTGAGAGTTGTCATCATTAAAATATCCACATGTTATGCAGTGGATGTAATAAGTAAGGTTTAAGTCCGCTCAAAGGTGGTGGTTTAGCTTAAGTTCCAGGTTTAGTCACACAGTATATACGTACTACACAGCAGTAATAAAAGCAAGCAAGCTAAATAGGTTGCTTTGTCAACTTACAGTTTCTTTCCTGGTAGCTCTGAATTATGTTGTCAAGGCTGTACGCACTCGCAAAGGGGCTGGAGCCATCGATCACTGACACCTTGAGAAAAGACACATTAATGTTGGGGTAGGCAATTCATTTTGGAAACACTTTTTGTTATATTTGTTGAAATAAATTCTCCTTACATCATGACAGCAATCAATAAATCAAATTCTTTGACGACTAAAACAAAATCTGGTATCTGGTATCAGGCAGACATTTGCTCAAGCTAGCGAGTGTTGTTTACGTTCATTATGATGATGTTTTTTATTTGATGTAAATGAGACTCGAGGTAGATGGATAATATTAGCGACGACAACGAAGCGCTGCTCCACCTCCACGCTCTCTGCTCTCTCTTGGACTTGTACTCCACTTAGACTGTATCTAAGAAACTGACGTGGTCAACATGAAGTTGGATAAGTCATTGGTTCGTGCCATTTTAAAGGTTTAAGTAAAAAATGTTGTCTGTAGCCATCTTGATTTTTGGCAGTAACCACCTTTTTAAAAAAGTTTCATAAGCACATTTGTGGGAAGACTACTGTATTTGCACGCTTCACTGTGGTCTAGTCTCTCCTCTCTTCACAAACATGGGCCTCCCATTTCAGCTCATCCATCCTTGCTCGCTCACAACTGCGCCTTCTCCCAATTCATGAATTTGCCTTTTTCATACATTTTTGTTGATTGCTTAAAAGGGAAAGGAGAAAACAAGAGAAGAAGAACAGGTGGATTGGTGAACTCTCACATTGTACATGTCGTACAGTCCCCGGTGAGGCAGCGGTGTCCTCTGCAGCAGCCTCAGGTCTCCGCTGACCGACAGCTTAGCTCCGGGAACGGAAGAGGAGTGTTGCACATAAGCCAGGCTCTGCATCACCACTGTGGACATGCGCTGGGGAGAACGCAAAGACATAATGCGCTTTACTTTAGTGGGAACTTCGACTGAGACTGGTCTGGATAGCCCGGGTGTGGAATACATACAAAGAGCTTGTAGCTGAAGGTGAGCAGCAGTTGGACACTGTACACCTGTTCCTCCGGTTTTAGAGGTAGCTGCAGTTGAAAAATCAGGAGATCCGACTTCCCATCCTGGTTCTGGTCGTCTTCTCTCACCTGTAGAGTGTGTTCACCCACACAGAAAATATAAAAACATACTGTTAAGTAAATCACCTCTGTGTTATAAAAAACAGCAGTGTTTGACGTAATTATTATGCAAGTACACGCCCCATGCAGGGGACAGGTGTGAGGGAACTGAGTGTGTTCTCACAGAGACAGAAGGGATCCGGAGATTGGCCCCAAGCATGTTGTTAAGATGGGGGAAGGAGCTCCAGGCCACATAGTCTCCCCGAGTACTGGTTGCTGCCACCAGCAGAGTCTGGTACTGGAACCGCACAACCGGTTGTTCCTCATAGGTCCTTCTTTTAATCCAGAAACCTAAAATAGCATGGCAATCATGGTTAAATAGCGGGCAAGCACGTCTACTAACAAACGCGCACATCACAAGACGTGTGTAAAGTTACTAAATAAGCAATAGCCACATAAGCAACGGTCATAATAGTTTAGCTCGAGTTGGACATTACAGTAAGTTACTGTACCTTGGCTCCTGTAGGCAACGAGCAGAGGTGAGATGTAGGTGAGGCACAAAACAACAAACAGAAACAGGGTGGCTTTCGTGCAAACACTCGTTTTATACCGAATCAAAGCCGGGTGAGAATAGACGTCATAGAAAGCCATCGGTAACTATATAAATAGCGTTCGTGGCCGCGAGTGTTATGTATCATCAAGTCAGCCGGCTAGTTAGCTAGCTAGCTGAGTCAAGCTAACGTTTAAGCTAGCATATATGGTACGTGAGTAAAACTAAGTGGATTCAACGGAGGATTAGCACGAGTAGACACAGATTAACCCTCGGTAAGTAAAAGAGAACGTATTTTTGGCAAAACGTAGCGTATAAACATGCTATTTATGTTAGCCACCTGGCTAGTCTTGTGCCATACACCGCGCCATGTTTTAGCTTAGCCTAGCGTCGCACGGTTACCATGGATATACATTCGTGCTGCATTCAATCAATATCGGTACAATGGGACGAACAGGAATCCCTCTGTTATTCCGCTGTGGGAGTGTAACGTGCAGATCCCTATCTAGTGGCCCTCTCACACATAGTTTAAATGGCCTAAATGTGCTACTCTTGTAGTGTTACCTATTTAGAGATACAAACTAAATTTGTATTGCTCATTTAATCCTTTTGGACTTTATTTTACAAAATTAGTGACAGCAATAGTGGCAGTTGATTGACACTTCTGTAGTTATTCTCACTGAGTGGGAGCAGTTGCGTAGCACAACAAATCTGGGCCCTGTACATATGGAGCCTCAATGGGCCCCCTTCCCCTTTTAATACATCCCATGTAACTCCTGTACATATATACAATTACTATATTTTGTCATAAAAGACTATTTATTTACAATTCTGTCTGATATCAGGCAAATTCAGAGTATCAATATAAAATGTCCCTCTCCCTCTGTGTGTGTTGTAGTCAGAGCTTTACCTTGCTATGTTGACATGGTGGCTAGCTCGTCATGTCCGACACTCTGCACTGCTTACAGCAGAAACTGCTGATAACAAAGGCATCGTAACGGACGCATAGGACTCACCCTCCGGTTCCCCCTCAAGTAAACTGTCAGTGCAAACAACGGCAACAGTGCTGTTAGCACCGTTAGCTTTACTTGAGTAGACAATTTCCATTTTATGCTACTTTGTACTTCTACTAATAAAATATTGTGCTTTTTCCTCCACTACATTTTCCTTAATAACTTAAGTTACTAGTTACATTTCAGATTTATATTAATGCAAAAATATATATAATTATTTAATACATTATAATACGGTATTTTTATATTAATACAACATCTGATAACACCATCCAGACCTACAGAGTCGTGGGTTCCAACTCAGTTTGTAAGCACTGACAGCACTGTTGTTGTTGTTAGCACAGTTAGCTTCTCGCCGTCGGCTCAGCTGTCCTTTGAAGTAAGGTACACATTAATGTGTCAATAACTATAATCCAGTACCATATAATAAACATTATTCTGAAATGGGCCATTCTGCATAATGAGTACTTTTACTTTTGGTACTTTAAGTATGTTTTGATGCCAATACAATGCTTTTTTTGAATGCAGGACTTTTACTCAACAAAGTAACTAAGTAATCTGCACTGTAGCATTAAGTAAAAGGTCTGAGTACTTCTTCCACCAGTGCCTGGCAATTGATGGACTGATTGTTTCCGGGAGAACTTGAAGGTAGCATCTTTATCACCACCCCCTCTGTCAGACAGTGACGTCACCTCACAGCTAGACGGACAGTTAGAAGCTTTGGGCAGAGAGACATTGTTGACGTTTTGTTTTGATCGCTTTTGTCAGGATTTTTTGGACGTCACGCTGACATTATCCGCTGATTTAGAAGCCAGCCTTTTCCTCGCCACCATCACGCCTCAGTGCGGGGACCCAGCAAAGATGAAATGGATGTTTAAAGAGGACCATTCCCTCGGTAACGGGGTTTGGATTGTTATGAAACGAGAGATGCTCTTGTCATGTCATGCGCCCTCCCTTTCTGTTTTGCTCCCTCCGCGATTTTGCCATATCATTCCCCATAGGTGCAGAAACGCATGCGACTCGCAAACGACCGATCCATAGCCGCTAACGTTGCATGACTAGCAACAACAAATGCTAACATGTTCTGCCTGCAAGTCAAATGACTGCTGTTAAATCTGGTTCATGTTTAACGTTGCTGATCCATCATATTAGTGAGCCCCCCCTTAAACCTATCTTATGTTTGCATGGGAAAGTTTCACTGCCATACTCCATTCAAGTATCTGACAATGTAATGCCGGGTTGCATACATATATAGGCAATGGCTTATAGTAGTGACGTTAGATGATTAAGAATGATACAACACAAAGAAGTCCTTTCTCTCAATAGTAACTTTTTGCATTGCTCCACACTGCCTCCGGGACAGTATGCTGACAAAATACAGCAAAAGTTTCTTTTTTTTCTTTTAAATAACAGCAATATATTTAATTGAAATGAGCAGTGACTGTGTACTAAGTGGGTGCCAAATTTAAGGGTGTTATCTTAATATTTGTTCCAGAGCTTGTAACGTGTTCCACTAACGTGAACATTGTAATGTGTCAGGGTGAATATTCATTTACCAGAATTCTGAATGGAGTTTGGTGTAAAGTTCCCCCACACTGGGCCAGGTTTGATTTGCAGCACCAAGAGCTCCTCAGCTCCCTTAGGCTTCCCCTGTTCACATCCTCTTCAGTTAACCTCCACTGTCCTTTTTTTTTTTTAAAGCAACGCTGCTCGAGACGATTCCAAAAGTAGGCCTCTTATCTGGGCTAATGAGAGCCTAAATGGTTCCACCACATCTTATCGCTCATCACCTCTCGGGCCTCTGTTCAGTGTCTGCCTGCTGCATCTGGTCCTGCCCACAAAGCATAGAAATAGAAGCACCATCACTCTTTGATAATTACCAACATGTTTAGCATCACTTAATAAAGACTGTTGTGATTAAGATCACTAAAACTAGAGAAGATAATCACTCTTTGACTTTGTACATAGTCCGTCTGTCCAGGTGTCTGTCTTTATGCTGGGTTTGGTCCCACGTATCTCCATACGCCAAGCCCATACTGACAGACTGGGCTTGGCTGTGGTTGGCATTAAAGGCACTAGAGGAGGAAGGCTCCCAGGAGGCCTCACTCATCCCTTTTAAACCTGACTTCCTGTTTGTTTCCCCTCTCTCCCTCAGAGCACCGATGTGTGGAGTCAGCCAAAATACGCAACAAATATCCTGACAGAGTACCGGTGAGTAAGAGGTGGGGGGGTTAAGGGTAAAGATAGGGTCTTTCTCAAACCGGACCCTCCCCATTCCGTTTGTTGTCACACTCTCAGCTGAATGAAGCACCCTTCTTAAAAGATGGAGGGTGTAAACACAGTGGCGAGCTTTGGGAACGAACTTGCCTTCTCTCCGACGGCAACAGTAACCATCGCGACATTTCGCAACGATGATTTCGCATCAAGGGGCAACTGTTACACACAGCGCTAATAATGAGCGACATAAGCAGTGGCTGCTGGTCAATAGAGGGCAGTAGGGCATTTGAAAACGCATATGTTTTGCTACGTTTACACTGAGCGTCCACACTACGCCGGCGTTTTCGAGCACCGAAAACGGAGGAGTTTGAAAATGGTCCCGAAGACGGATACGTTTGAAAACGCCGGGGTTGCGTATTCGTGTGGACGGTCGAAAACGGATATGTTTGGAAACGAATTCGTCACACACCTATCACGTGACCGTTTCCTGGAAATCTACCAGGTTAATTTAACATGGACAACTGATTACAGGCAATGCTGACCTTGTTGTCTTTACTAGCAGCTGTTGTTCAGTTAAAGTCTGCATTATTACGGAGGAAGCAGCTGTTATTGGAGCGGCGTGTCCAGCGGCGTTATCAGACCTAAGGAGCGGCCGTCTGAAGTCACGGTTAGCGGCTTTAGGGAGGGTGATGGACACAAAATGGAGGACTTTCCTTTTCTTAATAATGCTTATTTTGTTTTGCACACCTATTGTGAAGTCCGCAGATAAAATGTAAAGGAACAAAAGAAGTAATTGCTCTCCAGTAGGACAGATTCTTCAGCCACCAGCTGAAGAACAAACAACAACGGAACCGAGAGGAAACGAGTGAGAGACGTGTGTTGACCATATGTATGGACCCATAATCTAGTAAACCTTTATGTATAAGTGTTAATTTTAAAGTAAATTTGATGTGTAAGAGAGAGAGATAGAGAAAGACCTGCAGCGCTGTAACTAACATTAAGTCTGAAAAATAAAACTTCTAAAACTTTCCACGAAATGTGTCTGTTTGAGTTCATAGAGGAAGATTTTAGAGAAGATCTTAAGTACCAAACACGACCTTTCAAGACTACTTTATTACTCTGTCGTATTTTTTTAAACTAAGCAACTAATCTACTTCCTGGTTACATCGGCACGCATGCGCAGTGTACGTGAATAGTCACGTGATATTAGTTTTCAGGTGTTTTAGTGTGGACGGAGATAATCTCGAAAACAATGCTGAAACGCCGTGTGGACGGAGATGGTGTGGACATGGCTTAATGAAACATGAGAACACCAGGGCACACATGGAGAACTCTGTCAAGCTACATATTAGGCAAAGTAAAAAACTTTTCTTCTACATAGTTGTCCTCAGTCTCATCTGCTTAACTTGGTCATGGAGGCACCAACATTTAATTGAGATTGTAAATTAACAGTGAAAACTCATCATAGCTTAATTTAACATCAGTATTCCTAATTACACTTCATGTTTACTTCTCCTGATCTTTACCTCCTGATCTTTACCTCTCTATTAGTTTCCCCAACAAACAAGGTCCATTGGGGCATCTCAATAAATAAACATGTTCTATTATATATAGAATATATATATATATATATATAGAATATATATATATATATATATATATATATATATATATGACGTGTTTGTCACACGTTATTTACTGCTTTTTTTCGTGTTGGAATAAATATTAATTATTTAACTGCAAAGTAGTAATGCGTGTTTGATACCTTAATTGTTTTGCATTAAATCATACTGGGATGTTTGCTGAAATTGATTGGATGTGGCACAACCCTACCTAGAACATGTTCCACCAGCCACCACTGGACATAAGTAACAGTGAGGGAACAGTGGAGTCATTACATTCACTCCACATAAAATAAGTCTTTAAGCCGATAAAGAAGAATCAGAATCTGGTCTATTGCTAAGTTAGTTTTTACACACAAGTTTGCTTTGAAGTTTTGGTGCATTAACAGGAAACATACATATAGAATAAATGAAAGACAGTTAATATATTAAATAATAGGCCTATTATTAAAAAAATGTGTACAATGTATCTGTTTGAAATGAAAGAGCTTGGCAAAGGTATATTCTAGTGGATGTGCAAATATTCACAGGGTTTAAGAATAAAAAGAAATATACAGAGAAACTAAAGCTAAAAAAAAATCAAACTTACTCCCATGCTACCTTTGTGGCATTTCTTTTTTTTTTTGGTAAACCTCTCCTCGTTTTTAACTCCGATGTTTATGAGCTTCTCTTTTTTTAACAATCAAATGAACTACCGTTTTCTAGACAAGACATTTCCTCCATAGTACAATGTAACCCTTAACTTGTTGACATCTGTATGACAGTATTAAATGTCTACCTTAGTTAGAGCAGTTTACGTTTGTTCAGGTAGTTGCGCGGAACAATAGTTCGCAGCATCTTCCATGATGAACGCAACACGCTTTTGCACTTCCACTTCCTGCTATTTGGTTTGGGATGGCACTCAATCTGGCAGACCCACCACACCAACGTGCAAACGGCGCAAAATTCGGGTAAGGAGAGGTTTGAGAAAGGCCCCATAGAGCGATCAACAGAGTCAAGAGATAAGGAGCGAGTGAATGACAGTTAAGGACGGGGGCAGAAGAGAACGAGTGCGTGGTAATAATAGTCTGGTTAGACAGATTAGGAGAGCAGCACAGAGAAGCAGAGTTCCAACTGTGACCCTGATGAAGAATCCCTAAAACTTAAAGCTTAAAACCATCTATGGAACAACTCTGATGACACCTTATTGTACACTGCAGAGTAACCTATACGGAAACCTTCAGGATGTTCTCACAATCAAATGCCTTTATTCGGAATTCGCCAGTCATCAACACTAGTTTGAAAGAGAAACTGAATAAGTGACATATGAAAAAAAAAACCCACCATGACATGTTCACTGGCCTCCATGCTTATTTCTACTGTTTACTAACCACACTTCCCGGTTTGCGAAGTCAAACCTGACACACCAGGAAAAACGAAGCTGGCAGGAAGGGAATATAGCATAAAGAGTGACACCTCAGATCAGAGTGCATACAGAGGGACTGAGGAAGCACACACTCTGGGCCTTTTGTGTGGATGATAAAGCCTGTTAAACTCAATGCCCTTGAGTAATTCCTGCGTTCTGTATCTGCTTAATGGGAAGACGGCTTCTTCCTATTGTTAAAGGCTCACTGCATTGTTAGACCTCACAAAAGAGACAGAGCTCAAGACTGGAGGGGCATCGTAAACAGGGGCAAAGTAGTGCTGCAAAGACATTTACATTCATTTCATAATAACACACTTACTGGACAATTTATACAAAAGTCTGTATATGCAACTATTTAAAAAGGTATTTTTTGTCCTCACTCAAAAATAGTCGTCCACATTCTGTTTAAACCTGTATTACTGCACAGTGTCAGATAAAGATCAGGCTACACTAATATTATTAGTATTATATTTGTAGAATTGGATTCCAGTGGCGGCTGGGTAGGATTGTATTGTATTGTGCTTTTCTTAGAAACAAGTAGGGGGGCTTAAAGGAAAAAAGGGGGAACCACTGTTCTAGACGAATCATCAAGATCTGCTTTCAATGCTTTAAAGCTGCAAAGTCAATATTATTATATAAGCAATGGATTAGATGACCATGTGTAATGTGAAGGGGGTCGCTTGTCATGATAAACCCACAGGAAATTATCGCTGTTTCTCTCAATTAATAATTCACGTTTTTTAGCTGGTTTTGAGGCCCACAGCCTGAATGCTTTCAGCCAGCACCAGCACTCTCATCAACGGCCGCGTATTGGGGCCATTGTAGGTCAAAAACATATATATTTACGGAGCAGGGGGAGGGGGTTACATTCTGAGAAAAACTTATAATCAAGTCAGAAATGTTATGAGAAAAAAACTTGGTTATTCCCTTAAATTAAAGTGGCAAATTTACGAGAAAAAACTCACAAATTTGAAAGATTATAAAGTCATACATTTACGAGAAAAAAAGAAATAGTGGAGTGCAAGTAATGCTTTGCTCGTCAGGCTTATCACCATCGATTACTAGTGACATATGTTACTGACATTTTTAGATAGCAACTAACATTCACAAAACTGTGAAGCTGCATATTAGAGCGTGCCAAATCACACCTGGTTTTTCTGTTAATGCATGTGCTCCAGGTGATAGTGGAGAAGGTCTCCGGCTCTCAGATAGTGGACATTGATAAGAGGAAGTACCTGGTGCCCTCTGACATCACAGTGGCCCAGTTCATGTGGATCATCAGGAAACGCATCCAGCTGCCTTCGGAGAAAGCCATCTTCCTCTTTGTCGACAAAACTGTCCCCCAATCCAGGTGAGAACAACCCTTCATTCGGCTGTCGTAATAGTGGAAGCGAGTGAGGCAGAAGCCTTGTTTCCAGTCCCGTGTCTTTATGAACATTTTGAAGTATTGCAATAGAAAAGGGAAATGGAAACAGTCAAATTCCATAAAACTTCGGCAAAAAATGTTTTTACACTCGCTTGAGATGGTTTTTGACTTTGTCGAAAAGGAGTTAATGTAGTAAACATTTAACTCACAGGACTGACTGGCTGTTTCCATTGTTGGCGTCCTTCAAAATATTCCCATAACGCGTGGATGCTTGTCCGTCTCCGGACAACATGAAACGTGGGCAATACTAGCTGACATGAAAGAACACTTAAAACTTGCCCGATTGACACAAATTCCTGAAGGCAAGCCGACTTGTTTTGCTTCCGATTCTCAACCTCTACTTCTTCTTCTTCTCTGTTTACTGGTGGATTACCGCCATGTGTACCCTACAGAGCCAACTTCTGACCAAGCTACGCTGTAGCCAAGTCCAAACCAATCGACAGAGACACGCGTAATTCACATTTATTTTTTGTGACATTCTAAAACTTCGCTTGACAACTGAATGGAAACACTGCTCGTGAAATCTTTAATGCAGAATTGTTTCCTGTTTTCAATCTTCATAATTTGTGGCATGAAGAACCGTAGCAAATGTCCCCCCCAAAGTACCCAGGTGTTGCACTATGTAAAATGCATTGAAGAGGCCTCGAGTGGCTGTGCAGCTTTTTGGATGCTGATCTCATTTGCTTGTGGTAATTATGGTCAGTTCTCAGAATCGATGTTGGAATGTTATGTTTCAAAAGAGGTTTGCATAATTCTGTGAAGTGACTTTTTTGTTAACACTGTACAATTCAGTAAATCTATATTAGAACCAAGGGGGCAACCTCTGAGTCTGAAAAGTGAAACTAATGCGGAAGTGTCTTAAACCGGCATTCTCTCTAATGTCCATCAGGGGGCGACTCCTCTGGTTGTATAGAAGTCTATGAGAAAATGACTACTTCTCATTTGATTTATTACCTCAGTAAACATTGTAAACATGAATTTGTGGTCTCAATCTCTAGTTTCAAGTCTTGCTGTTCATTTAATAAATAATGGTCCCATTAAGAGCCAACTAGACCAGAAAGCAGGGTATGATTTAGGGGTGTGGCTACCACGGCGTTGTCCGGTCTGTTTATTTTCGTATATTGATGCTGCTATACATTTTCATCAGAGCCTATAGACCAGGGGTCACTAATAGGCGGACTGCGGTCCGGGTCCAGATGCCGTGGTATCCGGACCCTGGACCTAAAACCGATGGATAATTGAGAATTATTTAATTTTGACGGAGCGCTTCTATTTTAACCGGCGCAGTTTTCCAGCCTTTACTGCCCTTATTCAGCGGTCCAGGAAGTACACCGACTAATTACATACGTTGTAAATCATATCACGTGATGCTGCTCAGCCTATCAAATATGTGTATCCACGATAAGCATCATGGATTGAGTGACATATAAACAAACGGGAGAGACTGGACGAGAGGTCGAACAATCAGAATAGTACATGAGTCAGAGAAATTATTTCACATGGCGTTCTCCAAAAAGAGAAAAGTGGACTGCGAGACCAGAGTCTTTAACCAAGAATGGACAGACTCTTATACAGTGCATCCGGAAAGTATTCACAGTGCTTCACTTTTTCCACATTTTGTAATGTTACAGCCTTATTACAAAATGGATTAAATGCATTTTTGTCCTCAAAATTCTACACACAATACCCCCATGACAAAGTGAAAAAAGTTTGTTTAAAATTTTTGCAAATCTATTAAAAATACAGAATGAAAATATAACAGGTACATACGTATTCACAGCCTTTGCTCAATACTTTGTTGAAGCACCCTTGGCAGCAATTACAGCCTCAAGTCTTTTTGAGTATGATGCTACAAGCTTGGCACACCTATTTTTGGGCAGTTTCTCCCATTCTTCTTTGCAGGACCTCTCAAGCTCCATCAGGTTGGATGGGGAGCGTTGGTGCACAGCCAATTTTCAGATCTCTCCAGAGATGTTCAATCGGGTTCAAGTCTGGGCTCTGGCTGGGCCACTCAAGGACATTCACAGAGTTGTCCCGAAGCCACTCCTTTGTTATCTTGGCTGTGTGCTTAGGGTCGTTGTCCTGTTGGAAGATGAACCTTCGCCCCAGTCTGAGGTCCAGAGCGCTTTGGAGCAGGTTTTCATCAAGGATGTCTCTGTACATTGCTGCATTCATCTTTCCCTCGATTCTGACTAGTCTCCCAGTTCCTGCCACTGAAGAACATCCCCACAGCATGATGCTGCCACCATGCTTCACTGTAGGGATGGTGTTGGCCAGGTGATGAGCGGTGCCTGGTTTCCTCCAGACATGACGCTTGGCATTGAGGCCACTCTGTATATAAGAAGTGGACGTAATCATCGTGGCATCAGTCATTGGTTTGTGGACTGATGTTTTGAAGCCTTGAGTTCTGTGATTTTGCTGTCGCCATCTTGGATTTCGGCCATCGCAATGTTGTTTTTTTCGCAACCAATCAACGGAAGTGACCATATTCTGACTGCGGAGGAGTGAGGCCATGGTAGAGACCTGTCAATCAGTCAAACCCGCCCTAAAGCATACTCCACTTTATGGTCTGTTTGACTCTAAATGGACCATAATTTACTAAATGAACATCATGCTGTATTGAAGAAGACTTGAAACTAGAGATTGAGACCATAAACTCATGTTTACAATGTTTACTGAGGGAATAAATCAAGAGAGAAGTAGAGTCATTTTCTCATAGACTTCTATACAACCAGAGGAGTTGCCCCCTGATGGACAATTAGAGAGAATGCAGGTTTAAGGCACTTTAGCATTTGCTTCACTTTTCAGGGCTGGAGGTTTTTGTCTGGTACTCCAGCATTATTTGGGGAAGTGGTTTTGGAGGGAGGCCTGAAGTGGGTGTCATTTTTTTCAATTGAAGTCTTTCAAATTCTAGCCAACTCTTGCAACTCTTAACATCTTTAACAAGTGAAGATCTGCTGTTCCTGTCACATCTCACTCAGCATGTGGTATCACTACATGGTGGTAGTATATTGCAATGAAATATTTATACTGTGATCATTTTTGATGGCTAGAATAAAGATGTTAAAGAGTGCAGGTGTATGCTGGGTTGAGAATCAGAATCAGAACCATTTATTGCCAAGGTACAGTATGTTGCACATACAAGGAATTTGACATGACGGGTGGTGCGTAACATTAAACAATCAACAACAATCAACACAGTGCAAAAAGTAGAAACATATTAAAATTTACAGTAAAATAAAGTAAAATATAAAATAAAGTGCACAAACGAACAGATAACAGGACTATAAACAAGTGAGATGTACAGTGTAATGTAAAAGTGTAGAGTGTATTTAAGAATGAATGGGCAAAGCAAGATTGATGACCAGTCCTTTTAATACTGTAATTTAATTTTATACATTATATAATATTTGTTTACATTTCTGCAAATTGCCACTACGCTGAATGAGCTATTAGCAGTTCCTGTTTGCAGTGGTTGCCGCCTAATAGCAAATATGTTAGCAAAAAGTTGCCTGTTTACACTTGTGTGTAAGTATTCGTATTTATTCAATGATATTATTAACGTCTGAAATTCAAAAGAGTCATTTTAGATGGACGACTGCATTTCTGTCGGCCTATAGTTGTTGTGACTACAGCCTTTTCAAAAAAATTGGAAATAATTTCTGCTTTTTGCATGCGTTTTGTCCTTTTGGGGCTGCTCTAGGTTTTTTGGAAAACTGATGTCAAATTTCTGTCGATCAGCACAAAACAACCACTATTGGAGGCATTCATCTTTACAGACCCATACATATATATATCATTTATTCTGCTTAACTGCTGTTTGTGCTGTGTGTTGCAGTCTGACTATGGGCCAACTCTATGACAAGGAGAAGGATGAGGACGGCTTCCTGTATGTGGCCTACAGCGGAGAGAACACCTTTGGTTACAAGGCCTTTTATACAACACGGGGTTAACGCCACACACACACACACACACACACGGTAGGGCCCAACATACACTTGAGCACCATCTTTCAAACCTTGGCCGTTTCAGGTGTTACACAAGTAAGGCACCCACACACGTGGCACAGTTATTTATGGTCAATTTTTGATACTAAAAAAACACACATTCATGGTGGGAATGAACTCCACCGATACACCGCCACAAACTGGTAACAAACCTGCTTGAAATGCTTGACTTTAATGGCTGGTCTTTTGTCACGATCGCTGTTCAAAAGGTCAGTTGTGGGGAGAAATGTCGTCAACACTGCCGTTAAAGTAAGAGTAACAACGCACATTATAGGCACATCATTCATTTTCATATTGACATCAGTATTAAACTTTTAAAGAAAACTTATTTAGGCTCTGACACACACACACACACACACACACACACGCCGATCATCACCCGATCATGCTACACTTTCCGTCAGTCCAGCTTTGTCGTCACGGATGTGTGCAGCCGAAGTGAGAAAGAATAATCGTGCGACCAGATTCATTAACCGCATTATGGATGTATTTGTATGGCTCGTCGTATCATGTATTAAAACGTCAGTATTTAACGTTAATGCCACAGGAACACTCAGCGGTACGATACGCTGAGAGAACGACTCTACGCATGTGAGAGAAAGGAAGAAGGCGGCTCACGCTGCTGCTGCTGGTGAGGAGGCAGCCAGTGTAAAGTGTGTCCGGCACCACTCCTAGGATGTTCCGTTCCCAGCCCGGCCGTTATCAATTTGCACATGGTGTTGGCTGGATAGATGTCAGCGTCGCCACCGGGGTTCGTACTTGTGATGCCAACAGCGAGCCATGAACCTGCTAAAAGAAAGTTAACACTTTACTTGAAGTTAAATTGTGATATTTCGTTGTCATCGCACAGGAATTATCTAAAAAAAACGTTTTTACGTTTAGAATTTATATTATAAATCTGTAACATTTGTTTTTAGGAGGTTTACTACACTACCCAGGATGCCTTTCGACAACCTCACACAGTTTGACCTGTCAAACGCAGGTGTAACTAATAATAATAGTAATGGCTGCATTCCACTGAGGTGCTTAGTTCTACTTCAATCAGTGGCACAGATTCAGACACCTAAATGCTAATTCAATTCAAAGTCGGACTCATTTGTATATCTGCTGATGTGATATTGTTTAAATTCTACTAAGAAAAGAGAAAATATTGCAGTGCATAATTAGGGATGCATTGACATCGCTGACAATAGGGCCAATCTATTCAATTCAATTCTATGTTCATTTACTAAAACATTATAGAATGGAATTTTAGTTCCTGTTGAAGTTTTTACCAATTTGTTGTTGCATTAAAAAGGTCCACACTTAAAATTGTAATTTCTGTTTCCTTAAACATAAAATAATGATCCCTGTCTCTTCCACACGGTGAGGCCCACAGCTTATGAACTAAACACTGGTACCGATACGCAAAGCCCAGGTATCGGGACTGAATAAATCGAATCGGTGCCTCCCGATCATGGTCTCCAACTATAAGATGGTGATGCTTTGCTGCCACGATCTACTGTAAAGTTTCTTTATAACATTATTTACCTTCGCCCAATACTGAATAGAGCTTGTCACGCAACACAATGTAACTAAAAGCAACCTCCGTTTACGTTAGCTGTTAGCTCCGTTATCCAGCCGAGTAGGACTGTGCTGCCCACCGGCTGCTAACGGCTAACGTTAACTAGCTCGCTTAATCTGTCGTTCACAATGTAGCATCATCAGGGAAAAAATAGAGTGCACGAGAGTGTTTAGGTGTGTCGTGCTAGTTCGGACATGTGCAGTAGCACAGATCGGTTAGCTAGTGATAATGATATGATCACGTGATATCCGATCGGTGCATAGACTTGCTTACTCGCCGATACCTGACCCAGCTATTTAGGCTGTATCAGAGGCTTTTCTCACACTGGTATCAGAACAACTCTAGTTTTAAATCTAACAAGCTACAAGCAAGAAGTTTCTGCTTTCTGGAGGTTTTTTTTAAAGGCATTCTGGAAAATGTAAGAAATCCCATCCCGAAGCAGGCCGTACAACTCAGTATGTAGCAGTGGAGTCACTAACGGCCTTCAACTACTGCTCCACATTAGTCCAGCTTTGTAGAACTGATCAGAGTACAGGGTTGGTTTGTCTGTAGGACAACCGCTGAGAGCCATCAGCACACAAGCAGCTAAATCACATCAATATGACGTGTTTTATTTTATCTTTTGTTCCTGGAAAGCCTCGACGCTGCACACTATCTCTTTTATGTTGTAATGATTAAACCACACAATGCTCTAAGCGGAAATGTTGGTTAATAAAACTGCTGAATGTGTATCGTTAGCGTGCAGAGTGCTTGTTAATGATTAAATATGTTTAACGAACCCTGTGTTCAGAAGCCATAGTTAAAATATACAGCAGTGGCATTCACGTTTCAGATACTTCAAGTAAAGTGTTGCTCAGATAAGATAAGATAGACTTTATTGTCCTGAAGGAAATTTGTCTTGGAAACATACATACAGTGTCTGCTGTTAAAACAGAGCACTAAAAAAATCAGAAGCACTAAGATGATGCTGGCATTCTGGCTGCATTTCCACCCTTTACTTGACCCCATGGTGTTTTCATATTTGTGCACCACAAAGCCGATTCAGGCTTTTAAACATGTAGATGTGTAATATATTGATGGAATGCTATGATATTCAGTATTGTTTTATTTCGTCAGTGTTGTATGTTTAATATATCTTAAAGGCATAAAGGAGTTTTAGATATCTGAAAAAGGTAAGGGAGCTGGAAGACCCGACCAATAAAAACGAATGTGAAACGAATTGTACGGTGTTTCTGTCTTATTCATGAGGGATATGCTCAAAATTTAAGCTACCCAGAGAGCCTTGGTAGCCGAGTGTTTACATATGACTGCAGAGTCGAGGGTTTGATTCCGACCTTGGGACCTGTGTGGCACATCATACCTACAGGTAAATAAAGACAAACAACTTCTATCCTTAAATAAGCGAAGGCGTGCGTCTTTTATTTCAGCCCAGCGGGCACTAAAAACCCCACCATTGAGAAGACTTTATTACGGTTACAAGTTCTAGATGGGTTAGTTGTGAGTTGCAGAGTGTTGGAGATATCAGCCGTGCAGATGTCTGTCTCCTCTCCAATATAATGAGACAAATGACACTCAAAAAATAGATTTAAAAACTCAACAGCAGTCTCTTTAGAAATCATTACAGAAACAAACAAAGTTTTATTCAAGAATTCAAGGTAACAGAGGATGTAGTGACTGATAAACAGATGATCATTTTGTGGATGAGGTCCTTTAACTACAATTCTGACATACTTTACTTGAGTATTTCCATTTTATGCTACTTTATACTCGTATTCCATTACATTTCAGTATTGCACTTTTTAGTATTGATTTGACACTTTTAAGTTACTTTTAACATGAAAATATAATATGCTCCTATGATACGATGCAGTACTATGTAATCTGTGTGTGTGTGTGTGTGTGTGTGTGTGTGTGTGTGTGTGTGTGTGTATAAAGTTAACACGCGCTCATCAGCACTCAAGTTTATTCTATAAAGGAAATCAAAGAGTTGAGGCTTTTTAATGCTCTGGATCTGAACCAAATACACAGAACCTGAATGTTATTCTGTTTATCATTTCCTGTTTCAGACTCATGTCATGTGACTGCATCGGTTCAACTAATGCACACAGCATGTGGTTGCATAGGTTAAGATAAATACCTACTGTAGTTTCAGATGTTTGTCCTCAAAGCTTAAAACCTCTCAGTGGGAACTCATGTGGAATAATGTCTACATTTATTACTGGTGCTGATGACTTTAATAATAATAATAATAATAATAATAATAATACATTTTATTTGTATAGCGCTTTAAAAAAGGTACTCAAAGACACTTTACATGGTAAAAACAGAAACAATAAAAGCAACTACAATACAAACAAAATAGATGACATAACAATAAGGAACAGCACAAAAACATACATAACTAACTTCACAGGTTAAAAGCAGATTTAAATAGGTGAGTTTTAAATGCAGTTTTAAACGTGGCGAGTGACGGAGAATGTCTGAGGTGTTGGGGGAGAGAGTTCCAGAGGGAGGGGGCAGCAACGGAGAAGGCCCTCTCCCCCCAGGTCCGGTGCTTGGACAGAGTTGGGGGGGTAAGGAGTATGGCATCGGCGGATCTGAGGTTGCGCAATTATTTAGTGTATTTTCAAAGTACGATCGTCACTGTATAATCGTCCAAAAATACATTTGCTTTCGTCAAAATGCGTTGGTGGTGTATGGCCGAAGCCTCGCGAAAAAGCATCGATAAATATGTTTGGAAGTGTTTGGAGAGACGCCCAAGGGAACCAGTTGTTTCAGTTCACCCTAAACCAAAACGTTCCCTGGACAGTAACGAGATATGACCTAATGGATAAATACCTGAATGACTGATAAGTCTCTGCGAGGAAGTGGCGGATCGCGTAGCGTAACCGTCTTTGGGTTTATTACTATTTTGCTCGACAGAGTTCGAATCTAGGTTGTTGCGATCTTTCCATAAATATATTTCCTTCAATGTATTTCTTCATACGTGGCTGTGATGTAGTGCTCACTTATACAATCGTAATCCGCGTAATGAATATGAGATGTGGTTTGTAGATCTCCAGCAATACGTTTGTGAATGTTTGACGAATCTGGCGACAGAGACAGAAAACAGCTGCTGCGCACGGAGGGGAAACCAGTAGGGACGTGACACCGGGACTGGTGTGCTAACTGATGGTAAACCCAGCACTATGTCTGGTGGTGTTAAAATGCCAAAACGTTAAGCTCACTGTAAAAGTGTTTGCTGGCAAATTGGAAACGTTGCAAAATAGTAGAAAAACTAAGCAATAATAAAGCAAGAAGAAAATCAATACAATATTTATTGTCTGGGGATGATAAAACACAGGTACCAAATGCTCTTGGAGGCACATTGAGGTGTGTGATGAAGCAAAATGCATGCATGAATCTCTGTTGGGTTTACTACCGTGTGATGAGAGGGAAAAACATGAAACATGGTTTAAAGCAAAAATGCTGTCTAATGATGAATGTATTGCTGGTACAAAACTGTGGGTTTCATCCAATGAAGGTACTGTGTATGAAAATGGTAATGTTGAGGATGGTATTAATCCAAATGACAGTGTTTCTAATGTTGGTAGTAAACACTCAAGTCAAAGGAGTAATAAAAGTGGTAAATCCAGTACCACGTCCTCTGCACGGATAAAGGTGCACGGTATCGCTCGCACGTCAGCTTTAAAAGAAATACATGCTTTGGAGGAGCAGGAGCAACAGCTGAGGAGGAAAAGACAGCAGCTTGATTTGGAAGCCGAACTAGCTGCTTCCAATGTTATGTTGGCAGTATATCAGGCCTCTGATCTGAACAGTTATTCTCAAGGACCCTCAGATGGCATGGGGCAGCTGTTCAGCAGCTGTTGGTGATGGAAGATGCCCCACCTGAGTGGAGCCCCAGCCTGGACCAGGAGGAATCACAGCCCCTCCACATAAAAGAAGAGCAGGAGGACCAACACAACACAGAGGCAGAGCCTCCATCAGTAGCTCAGCTACTGATGGAAAGGACTGTGGAGGATCAGGAACAACCTGGAACCTAGATCCAGATTGTCATGTCCAACTGAATATTGATGATGAATCCTCAATAAAATCCAATATGTTCAGAACTCTGCCGCTCAACTGCTCACTTCCACCCGCCGCTATGAACACATCACCCCGGTCCTTCGCAACCTCCACTGGCTCCCAGTCAAATACAGAATAGTAATCAAATTATTACTCACCACCTACAAAGCCCTAAACAACCTGGCCCCTCCCTACCTTTCAGACCTCCTCCCCCTCCACGCCCCAACCCGTTGCCTCAGGTCCACCGGTGCAAACACTCTGAAGACCATCAGGACCAAGCGCCGGACCTGGGGTGACAGGGCCTTCTCAGCTGCTGCACCTCCCCTCTGGAATGAGGGTTCACACAGGATAAAAATGTATCTTTTCACTTTGTTGTGAAAGATGAATAACCTAAAGGTGTTCGGTGCGGCTGCAGCAGTAAAGCAGGCACTGCAGCGGACCGTCTTGGTGAAGAGGGAGCTGAGCCGGAAGGCAAAGCTCTCAATTTACCACTCGGTCTACGTTCCTACCCTCACCTATGGTCACGAACTCTGGGTCGTGACCGAAATACAAGCGGCCGAAATGAGTTTCCTCCGTAGGGTGGCCGGGCTCAGCCTTAGAGATAGGGTAAGGAGCTCGGTCATCAGGAGGGAACTTGAGAGTCGAGGCGCTACTCCTTCGCGTCAAAAGGAATCAGCTGAGGTAGTTCGGGCATCTAATTAGGATGCCTCCTGGACGCCTCCCACTGGAGGTTTTCCAGGCACGTCCAACTGGGAAGAGACCCCGGGGAAGACCCAGAACACGCTGGAGGGATTATATCTCCCAGCTGGCCTGGGAACACCTCGGGATCCCCCAGAATGAGCTGGAACATGTTGCCAGGGAGAGGGAAGTCTGGGTCAGCCTGCTTGGCCTGCTGCCACCGCGACCCGACCCCGGATAAGCGGAGGTAAATGGATGGATGGTGGATTTTTGTCTTTTTTTTGTAAATGAGAAGAAAGCGGAAATGTTTTCCAAACATTATATATATATCTCAATTATATTAGACAGTAGGTCTGTAATGGTTGAAACAAAAAAAGGAACCAAAGACAGGTCAGCATACAGTTCAACATCTATTTCCTGTAATAAATAATAAGAAAGATCAAACATGTGATGGTACGATCTGATGGAACCAACCATAAAACAATCATTCAGGAAATCTGAGACAAATTATGGTAATTTCAATTTAGAACCCTTCTAAAACGAACCCTGTCGCTGGAGACAGAAAGTGGCATGCATAATTACCGTAACTACTCAACCACTAACGCTATCAACGTAATTCCAACGGATTCTGAAAGCTGAGAAGCGGAGCTTTCCAGTGATATATGGTACATTACGGTATTATTGGTAGAAACCAGTGCCGGGATTGGCTGTGGGGGAGGGGTGGAAGTGAGCAGAGCAGGAAACGCAGCAGCTGAGTGAGTACAACTTTTGAGTATTGTAGCAGTGTTTCAGCGGTGTGTACATCCTTTCCCACAAAACAATTGCATCCAAATGGTTTCGGTGTTGTAAACAGTAGTATTAGTATTGTTTCTGAGAGTTTTGGAGTGTTTTTTTGCCACCATTCGTATTTTTCGGTAGTCATTTTGTAAATAGTGGAAGGAAAAATGTCGAGGAGCTCTACCAGGGAGAGGAAAGCCCCGTGAGATTTTTGGAGGAGGATGGACAGGAGGAGTCTCAACCACAGTAAGTAATTCAGTTTGTATACACTGGATATTCATTCCCAACTTTATTACATGGCTACACATAATACTAGTGTAGCCATGCTCAATTAATATTGGATGGGTTGCCATGAAATTTTGTACAGACACTCAAGTTCAACGGAGGAATTGCAATAACTCAAAGCTGGTTTTGGGGGGCGGTCATTGGGGAAATATTCCGTAATAACCTTTCGGCATGTTGTAATTCAAGTGGTTTGAGATAAAAGATAGTTTTCTGCACCTCCTCTTGGCTCTGTTTTCAGGCTTTAGAAAGTAAAAGAATTCATAAAAGAAACTAAATTTCTTAAACCCTCTGCAGAGGAAAGAAAATGACATTAAATACACAGTGCAAAGCTCCTTTGTCGTAACTTGCAACATGCTGTTCAGTGTTCGCCGAGCCAAGTGGGTCGTTACTCGTCAGTGGAATCTGCTGAGCTAAAGCAATAACACAACTGATCCTCAATCCCTACGGGGATTTAGTATCCGGTCTTCGATGAGGGACATAACTGTTGTGCAGAAATATGCAGGTTCAACTTGTTCTTTGTCTTTACGACAAAGAACAAGAGGACGGGAAGCACCCTGGTCAGGTTTACAGGTCATCACAAGCCGAATACAGACACGCGTGTAATCATTATTGTGGTCGGTTTACCTCAGCAGAATGACTGTGGGAGGAGAATACAAAGACGTCCAGCTGTGTTTTCACAACCCGAACACTAGCCGGCTGCAGTCGCTACATGTCACACACATTGTGAAAATAAAACCTTCATCTGAGGTGTTACGTCCCTTCTCTGTTGTCCAGGGGAAGGATTTAGGGACTAACACAAAACAACCCAAATGAAAAACAAATAGCTTGTGTACCATAAACAATATTTATTATGCTCACTGACAGTTAAAGATGAGCGAGTCTCAACACAAGATTTGGGAGAGGATGGGACAGGTGTGGTCGTGCCAAACAATTGATAACAGAACTTGGCCTAACTAACTAACCTCTGAAATCAACAAACAAAATGTCTTCTCTAACTTATCTAAATGTGCTCGACCAAAACCCAAATACAGATGAGGCACCGACCAATAAGCCTAGTGCATCTAGACACAGAAAATCCTACGTGTGCGCCAATGTACAGGGTACCCCAGACTCACCTACTGTCCGCAACCTCTCACCACAAACACTAACAAGTTCAGTTCTCAGAAGTGACATAAACCCAGTATGAAGTGAAGTCCTCCTGAACTCCGAGGCTTCCTGCCTTTTATCTGCGGCTCTCCCTCTGCCGATTGGCCAGCCTGCCGCTGGTGCCACCCACCAATCAGCACAACCGGCCCCCACAGGTGGAATCCAATCGCCTGTTTGCTAGGATAGGAGACTGAGGGAGAGAGAAAAAAAGGAAGGGCAGGAGGGGAGAAAACACAACACGTAACATGAGGACACTGAGCGGCCGTCGTCAACCTCTTGTGAACGGAATGAGGGAGCAGGGTGTCCTCAAGCAGTGGCCCCCTGGGCAGTGGACAGTCAAAAATAGCCAGACAATATTTATCCAGACCTCAAACCTCACTGACCAGCTGAACCCAACTGGGCAAGTTGGACCACCGACAAGGACATTTTCAGTTGCAGAGCAGCGTTTCAGTGGAAGAGCAGCAGATCTCTGTCACTGCGTGGCCACAGAGGGAACGCCTGGCTGTGCAGCTGCTGCCAGGCCTGCTGATACAAGCGGGAAGCCTGCTTGAAGTCCCAGTACATCTTCAACTCTGTTCTCCTGAACAGATACACATCAGAAAACATGAGGTTATTGCTCACTCTTTGGTTCTTGTTCTTACATTGATCAGTTCAACAAATGTTGTAATTAATGACAACAAAAGTCGTGTGTGTTACAAGGTCCCCTACTTCTCAGAGATGCAAAACAGCCGCAAAGAGACACACACAAAAGGGACAAAACAAAAAACAAAGATACATAAAGCAACTACAATAAGATGCAAAACAACGAGAAAGAGACAAAAAAAGAGTCAAAACAGTTACAAAGAGGCACAAGATAACCACAAAGAGACACAAGGCAACTACAAAATGACACAAAACGACTACAAAGACGTATAAAATGAGCACAAAGTGATGTGTAAGAACTACAAACAACACAAAACAACAAAAAGTGGCTTAACAACTATAAACTCTGTGTCTTGCTGTAGGAGAGGTGTTAGGGTCTTATGCATGTCTGTGCCCAGGCACCCAGTGTCTCATAATAATGCTGACATGTACTCATTTTGGAAGTTCCTTCTATTCCAAAAGATTAAATTCCATCAGTGCTCTCTGAATGAATACAAACATCCGTTATGCTCGGCCGGAGAGTGCTTGTGTTACAATGGAAGTCCGTTTGAACGCCACTGTGGCCTAATCAGCTCATAGCTCTTTAGTAATACAAATATTTTTTATTTTTGCGTGACATTTAATTTATACAACTATTCAGTTTGTTGCTTTTAGTTTGCCGTTTTTTAATTTGCTGTATTTATCTAATCTCGTTTCCATTATGGCTATTTGATTGCAATTTGTGCAGGTATTGTAAGCAAAGGATACGTGTGGCGATATGAATCTAAATCCCCTCAACCAGAGCCACCATTCATGTTATTAGTGTCTTTCCTGCGATGCAAAAAGGTCTGCAGCAAAAAGGCTAACCGTTAATGTGCCAACCCACAATCAGGTTACTGAGCCGCATTAGGAACAAAATCTTGTGCAGATAAAGTGTCCGTCTGCTTTACGCAATGATTTACGTCCCGTCATACCAACTACACAATGCAAGACAAACACACACCCCATGTCCTCACCAGACATACCACTGTCGTGTCCATGTGTAGGCCGGGCTGCACTGGGATCTGGTTATCTGCTGAAATGCTGATGAACAGAGAGACCACTGTTCTCCCTGTGGAGAGGATCCTCAGCCACACTAACAGATGAAATGTGAGCACTAAATGTCACGCACAAAGACCCGGCCACAGCACACACTCGTACGCAAACACACACAGACAATATTTGTTGTGTAATCTCAAGCGCTTTAAGCAGCAGATGAGACGAGAGTTGCCCACAAGGACAAACTGATGAAAGTCAGATCCACTCATTTGGAGATCTTCTTCAGCGTTTTGGGTTGTTTGAAAACCACAGTGACATTATCAAAGAGTCTATTGTTTGTTACCTGAGGGAGTCAGGAAGTGCTCCGGGATCAGTGGCCGCCACCACAGACAGGAAGGAATGGAAAAGCTCCAGTTTACACAGGAGAGACCTGAAGACACAAACATGCATAAATTTCACAGAGTTTGGGTGTAAAGGAATAGTCTATACAATGATCAAATTCAGCAAACAGTGACTTCTGCTTTATATAATAATATTATATATAATAATGTGTGATAGAGTGAGAGTGTTGGCTCTACCTGGCTTTAGCTGTGCCCAAGGCCTTCTTGGTGACTCCGTGTTTGTAGCCGTTGGCGGTGACATCTATTGGCCGCTTGGTCACGTTACACCAGCTGATGGCTGAAACACAGGTAGGCTTTTCTCACTGACAGCTTAGCCCGGGGCTAATCACAGCCCCCGACACAAGAGACACAAATCATTGCAGACTTCCAGAAACCTTTCTGAATTTGAATCCCTGATATCGGAAAGAAGACTTTGTGTGCCAAAATGCAAAACCAACCACTTGAAGCTGACGTTTGGTCCAGCATCAATCAAGCTACTGAACTCCCATGAATCCAATAAAAAACAATGTGCAATAAATACACAAGCACTTTAATCTGCCGTGTTGTCAATGTCTTTTACTGTGTGTTTTAAGATGGTTTCTTGTTTTACTTTATTTAAAGTAATATGTCATATTATCATATATCATGTAAATTCAGTTATGGCTGTTGGTTTTGGGTGTGCCGCCCCAAGATTCTTAGTTGGCCCATCTGGCACCTCTATGAACAATGTCTGGGAGCGCCACCTATCGACTTTTGAGAAGTGCTGAAATGTGAAGATCAGAACGGCATCAACCACCATCCATCCATCCATCCATTTTCCTCCGCTTATCCGGGGTCGGGTCGCGGTGGCAACAGGCCAAGCAGGCTGACCCAGACTTCCCTCTCACCGGCAACATGTTCCAGCTCATTCTGGGGGATCCCGAGGCGTTCCCAGGCCAGCTGGGAGATATAATCCCTCCAGCGTGTTCTGGGTCTTCCCCGGGGTCTCTTCCCAGTTGGACGTGCCTGGAACACCTCCAGTGGGAGGCGTCCAGGAGGCATCCTAATTAGATGCCCGAACCACCTCAGCTGACTCCTTTCAACGCGAAGGAGTAGCGGCTCGGCTCCAAGCTCCCTCCTGATGACCGAGCTCCTTACCCTATCTCTAAGGCTGAGCCCGGCCACCCTACGGAGGAAGCTCATTTCGGCCGCTTGTAGCCGCGACCTTGTCCTTTCGGTCACGACCCAGAGTTCGTGACCATAGGTGAGGGTAGGAACGTAGACCGAGTGGTAAATTGAGAGCTTTGCCTTCCGGCTCAGCTCCCTCTTCACCAAGACCGTCCGGTGCAGCGCCTGCTTTACTGCTGCAGCCGCACCGATCCGTCTGTCGATCTCCCGCTCCATCTTACCCTCACTCGTGAACAAGACCCCAAGATACTTGAACTCCTTCGCTTGAGGTAGGCACTCCGTCCCCACCTGGAGGGAGCAATCCACCGGTTTCCGGCAGAGCACCATGGCCTCAGATTTTGAGGTGCTAACTCTCATCCCCGCCGCTTCACACTCAGCTGCAAACCGCCCCAGTGAATGCTGGAGGTCACGATCCGAGGAGGGTAACAGGACCACATCATCTGTAAACAGCAGAGAGGTGATCCCGAGACCCCCGAACCTGACGTTCTCCACCCCCAGGCTGCGCCTAGATATCCTGTCCATGAAAGTCACGAACAGGACCGGAGACAAAGGGCAGCCCTGGCGGAGGCCAACACCCACCAGGAACGTGTCTGACTTATTGCCGAGAATGCGGACACAGCTCCTACTGCAGTCGTACAGAGACCGGATCGCCCGTTGTAATGGGTCCGGCACCCCATACTCCCAGAACCCCTCCAGTAGTCTTGCGAGGGTAAAGAGCTGGTCCACTGTTCCACGGCCGGGACGGAATCCGCATTGCTCCTCTTGTAGCCCTGCTTTCCCTTCCTGAGCCGTCGGATGGTTTGCCAGAACCTCCTTGAGGCCAACCGAAAGTCCTTCTCCATGGCCTCCCCGAACTCCTCTCATGCCCGAGTTTCAGCATTCGCGACCACCGCAGCTGCAGCCCTTCTGGCCTGCCGGTACCTGTCAGCTGCTTCGGGAGACCCCTGGGCCAACCAGGCCTTGAAGGTCTTCTTCTTCAGCTTGACGGCTTCCCTCACCTCCGGTGTCCACCACCGGGTTCTCGGGTTGCCGCCACGACAGGCACCGATGCCCTTCCGGCCACAGCTCCTAGCGGCCACGTCCACAATAGAGGCTTTGAACATGGTCCATTCGGATTCCATGTCCCCCACCTCCCTCGGGATGTGAGAGAAGTTCTTCCGGAGGTGGGAGTTAAAGACCTCCCGGACAGGGTCCTCCGCCAGACATTCCCATTTCACCCTCACTACACATTTGGGTTTGCCGGGTCTTTCCAACCGGTTCCCCTGCCATCTGATCCAACTCACCACCAGGTGGTGATCAGTTGACAGCTCTGCTCCTCTCTTCACCCGAGTGTCCAAGACATACGGCCGCAAATCAAATGATACGATTACAAAGTCGATCATTGATCTCCGGCCTAAGGTGTTCTGGTACCAGGTACACTTATGAGCCACCTTATGTTCTAACATGGTGTTCGTTATGGCCAAACCGTGGCAAGCACAGAAGTCCAATAACGAGACACCATTCGGGTTCAGATCGGGCAAGCCATTCCTCCCAATCACCCCCCGCCAGGTTTCTCCATCATTGCCCACGTGAGCATTGAAGTCCCCCAGGAGTACTATGGAGTCAGTAGGTGGCGCCCTTTCCAGGACCCCTCCCACCGACTCCAAGAAGGCCGGATACTCTGAACTGCTGTTTGGTGCGTAAGCACAAACCACAGTCAGAGCCTTGCTCCCCGCAACCCGTAGGTGCATGGAGGCGACCCTCTCGTTCTCCGGGGAGAACTCCAACACAGCAGCGCTCAGCCGGGGGCTCATGAGTATCCCCACTCCCGCCCGGCGCCTCTCACCCTGGGCAACTCCGGAAAAGGGCAAAGTCCAACCTCTCTCCAGGAGCTTGGTTCCAGAGCCAGCGCTGTGTGTGGAGGTGAGTCCAACTATATCTAGCTGGTATCGCTCCACCTCCTGCACCAGCTCTGGCTCTTTCCCCGCTAGCAAGGTGACGTTCCACGTCCCTAGAGCTAGTCTATGCTATGAGACCTGTTTGCCTTGGGAGACCCTACCAGGGGCTAATGCCCCGGACAACATAGCTCCCAGGATCACTGAGCCACTCAAACTCCTCCACCACGTTAAGGTGGCGATTCGCGGAGGAGCATCAACCACCATAGATTTCAAATGCAGTCTAAACAAAGTCACTTACCAGATCTATCTTAGTGGGTAGAATACATTAGCTAGTGGCCCAGTATTTAGTGGGAGGGTTTAAACATGTATTTGGTGGAGAAAGCTAGCGTGTACCGTTACACCAGAGAGACATTACGAGCTACAAGTCTCTAAACTTAAAGTTTCGCGAGTGACTTGCCCGTGTTACACACTGAATGATGATGAATGCCCATTCAGTTTTTTTTCAGATGAGTTTATTCTGTGAATACAACCAGACAGTATCAGATGAATGTCAGCATCCACGATCTCAGCTGTCAGTTGCTGGTCTAGCTTGCTTGTCTTTTTATAGTTGTCACAGCACACATCATTTATCTTACATTATGAACAATACAACCATCAGGCCAGGCCACTGGCGCTACATTGGCGCGAAACTGCTAGCACGCGAATAGCCTCGTTTAGCTAATGATGCTAGCCTTAGTTAGCCTTTCCTACGTTTCAGCAATCAACACTTTATAAAACATCAAAACACTGCATCGCAACAGCGAGCGAACCCAATATAAATGTATACCGCGCTTATGTACTTATCTCACCTCTGAATACAACCAGACAGTATCAGATGAATGCCAGCATCTACGATCTCAACTGTCAGTTGCTGGTCTAGCTCGCTTGTCTTTGACAAGTATTACAGCGCTAGTCACACCAAAACCCGCTACTGCCACCTATTGGCGAAAAATGAGTATCGCCCTGCAGCTATTTTAGGTTAAAGTAGTTGAGTTTAAAAGACACACAAAGCGTTTTAAATTATAATAACCAGAAAATAATAGTAAGGGGGGCAAGGTGATGACACAAACTAAAACAATAACAATTCAGCAAATAATTGTAGCCATTAAAATGAGAGTGACTTTTGCTCGCGCGAGAGTGACTTTTGCTCGCAGAGTGATGTAAAAGCGCTCGTCAAAGTAAAATACATGCGCGGCTGTTTGATTTGCGCGCGTGGATCTCATTTGCGCTCTCGGATTTTGACAGTGATTTGCCTTCATATCTGAGTCTCTTCATGGTGTTTGAGTCAAACACCATGAAGAGACTCAGAGGTTTGACTTTATTCAATACGTTAATAGCTCGCAGTCGGTGTTTCGGTTAAGTTTATAATTTACCAACCTTTTACATAAGTTACTACGAGCGACCACGGACAAAGTTAACACGGCCACTTAATGAAACTAAAACACCTGTTGCTGTGAAACGTTTGTGATCCTGTCTGAATTCTTATTATGAAATTATTCATAATTATTTAGCCTAATTATTTAGGCTGCCTTGAAACATCTGGCCTGGGACAGCAGATGGAAATTAGCCTCTCTGGCTAACTCTGGCTCACTTACAGTGCAACTGTTGATTAGTGTGCATTGTCCCTGAAAAATAAATAAATAAATAAATAATTCATCGTGCGTCTACCGCTTCTTATTCTATTCTACTTATGTTATCTCTTTTATCATTTCATATTTATAACTCCACTCACGCTCAGAGGTAACAGAGCCAGTTGATAACCAGCTTTTTGGAAGTTTTCCAAGCCGTTCGGCTCAGAAAAGTCAGCTGACCTAAACAAAGCCGGACTAACATGAACTTGCTTCAGCATTTAAACATTGTTACAACTATAAATACAAACAACATAAACAGTATAAGCCACTGTCACACTCAGTTTATGAGTTTCAAAAACTCAGAACAATAAAAACAACACAGTGACCACGAGTGCTATTTACCAAAGCCTTTAAAATTTACGAAAAATGAATTAACAGTAATCAGTTCGGACCATTTCACATCCGGCAGCATTGTTCCAGGAGAGAGGGGCAGCGTATCTAAACTGTAAAAACCAACATCTGTAGAACATTGTGAGAATGCACGACATGCTGGTGTGAATGACCTTGACTTAAAACATGGGATCAATGAGAAAGATTCACCGGGTTAAGGCAGGAAAGTGTTCACGTCTGACAGTTGGGTGATTTACGATGTACAAGATGGCACCGCGGATGGCAGTCTCGGTACTGTGCTCTCTTGTAAAATAGTGTATGTACATTGAGAGCGGAGTGGAAACCGGAGACAAATTCCGTACGCATACATGGCCAATAAAGCTGATTCTGATTTCACTGAAAACTTTTCAGAGATTAAGTTGTGAGGGTTAAAAATACTGTGCATTGCCAATGTAACTTAACATCCATTACATTATGTTCAACTACCTTGAACAATGGACTTTTGTTTGGTTTCCAGGCAATTCCACAATATTAAGCACAAGTTGAAAGCTTTCAAGAGTTTTCCGATCAAAATTACGACTTCGTTGTTGAAAATGTGCCGTTTACAAGTCAGAAACTGGTAATAAGCCTAACTCCCACATGACATGCACGTGAGTGATGACCCTACCTGCTCCACAGGGCGAGATGCGTCCCTGTCCCGCCTGGTGTCGGAGCTCGGTCTGGGCCTGGCTGAAGGGGAACTCCAGGCTGGAATGGAGCAGCTCAGGTGGACACACAGAGAAACCAGCAGGGAGGTCCCACACATGGGAGCACCTGGGGAGGACAGGAGGACTACATTGAAGACAGTCTGCTGATGCCCTTACACTGAAAGTAATATAACCACAATACTCCAACACTGTTAAAAGTGACAGCGACTGATGATGTATAATGGAATCCTCTCACAGCAAACAATATGGAGGTTTTTTTGAAGCTGGTAACAGTGTGGATATTCAGCATCTGAATATCTGTCTATTTTGATATAACTAAATAAAGCCTGAATTACAACAGTTGTAGTTTTAGCTTCCTGCTAGCTGGGGATGAACAACTCTTAATGTCACTATATAGCAACACCAGGAAACCAAGAGATTGGTCTAAAGCAGGGCTCCAGACTAAGTTAGAATTGTATGTGGTCACATTCATGCGAGTGCATGATGATCATTCATTCTAGAGCGGAGACATCAGCCACTGTCTATTGCAATCCAAAGTCTCGAAAGTCAATAGAGGCTGCAATACAGCTTTCATTTTCGTTACACCGTTGGGTGGTTTGATTTAATGTATAACAACAATGCATTGTATTTCATGTACTCATAAATAAATGTACTGAAGTTAAAAAGTACAATATTTCCCCTTCAAATGTAGTGGAGTAGAAAGTAGCATCAAAATTGTACTCAAGTACAGTACTTGTGGAAAAAACAAATCACCTGCTGCTGCGAGCGACTGAGAAAGTAGGTCTAAAGGTCACTCAGCATTTCATGATGTCGAAATATTAGGTCTTCTTCTAAAGTATCTCTTCCACTGTATTCATATCATCATAGGAACAATGACGTCCTTTCGCCTGACAGGTTTCCCTGGACCGTGGTTCTATCTGGACCCTGGTCCTGCTGACACACACTGCTACTGGCTCCCTGCAGCATTTAGGATCCACTCACTCTCCCTTACAGAGCACTACACGGCCAGACTCCTACATATGGGACTGAACTACTTCCCCCATATTCACCCTCCCGCGCTCTCAGGTCAAACATGTTAAATGATCTGTCCGTCCCACGCACTCGCCCTAAGACACGTGGTGACCGAGCCTTTGAGGTAGTAGCACAAAGCTGTGGAATGCTCTGCCTGCACCCCGACGTTTTGCTGTCTGTGAACTCATTCAAAAATCAGCTCAAGACACACCTGTTTAGATTGGCGTTTGGGTAACAACTCATGTCCTAGGCCTGCTTTTAGACCATGTTTTACGTTTGTACTTTCTGTTTTTGTGCATTTTAATGTAAATTATTGGCCCTTATATGGTCACATTGTGCCATTGTGTTATGTTTGTAATTCTACTCATGTTAAGCACTTTGTGACTAATGTCTGTGAAAAGCGCTTTATAAATAAATTGTACTTACTGTCAGTATTATTAGTAGTCACATTGCTTGCCATTGCTGATACAATTACTGCTTCTGTTATTATTATTCTACTATACCCACTGCTGCTGTTATTAGTAGTAGTCGTCATTTTTCCATCGTTATTCTGCTTACTACTCTCATTATATAATTTATGCCATATGAATGTGTTGTAACTCTGTTATGTTCATTCTGTACACACGACATCGATCACACTTCTGTCCTTCCTGATAGAGGGATCCTCCTCTGTTGCTCTCCCTAAGGTCTCTTCCTCTTTTCTCCCCGTTAAAGGGTTTTTTAGGGGAGTTCTTCCTGTTCTGAAGTGAGAGTCCTCACATTGAGTGTTTTGAGCTAAAACCAGTACACTTCCTGTCCAGCATCAAATTGCAGAAAAAAAATGAAAGACAAGCTGGTGAAGGAAGTTAAACATCCAGCTTAATGGACTGTACTTGTATTGCGCTTTACTAGTCTTTCCGACCACTCAAAGAGCTTTCACACTACTTCTCATCATTCATACACTGATGGTAGAGGCTGCCATCAGGACTAACTAACATTCACACACCGTAGGTACAGCTATGGGAGCAATTTTGGGGTTAAGTGTCTTGCCCAAGGACACATCAACATGCGACCAGCAGAGCCGGGGATTGAACTGCCGATCCTTTGCTTGAAGGACGACCCTGCTCTCCACTAAGCCGCAGTCGCCCCATAAGAGAAAGATTATATTCTCAGGAGCTGGTGGAGACCAAAACAGAGATTAAAAGGAGAATAAATATAAGATTTTTATTCAACCAGAAACACACCTCAAAAGGAATATTGCTCCATGTCTGCTGGATTAGCAAAAATTCACTTTATAAAAGGTATTTGTATGTTTACAGATTCTTTGACTGCCCAGATAGAGTTCTTGATTTATGCAACAGTGCAAAACTCAAAGATATTTATTTCACCACATGTTTGTTAATTGGCTAATTGTTCTAGCGTCAATCTTTACCTTGTAACCAAAGCTCTCTGCATGACCTCTTGGCTGTATGGACACTTCCCCACCACCACAGTGCTGAAGTAGAGTGCCTCCTGCAGGTAGTGGGACAGCAGCGCGCCCTGGAAACCCAGCACCCCCCAGCGGGCCAGCTTGTCGCTGCAGGAGAGGGACTGGGTCGGCTCTCCTCGCCCGGGCTTTACCCGGAGCACCCCTGTGCTGTGGTACCCCAACCCGGGGTGCAGGGGGTCGGCTGGGCCGCCTGAGACGCACTTGGCCCCCGTCCTGTGAACATCTGGGACGGGGGCCAGACGTCCTACGCTAGGTAGGACGTCTGGTGTTTTTGCAGAGTGACTCTGCGATGGATCTTCACTTTTCGGGGAATTAGGAAGGAGGGATTGTTTTGTGTCTCCTCCATCCTCTAGATCCAGACGGGGCAGTTTAATGTGTTTTCCTTCACTTGGTTCCTCAGCTCCCCTTTTCAGGTCTCCTCTTCCATCATTTTCTTTGTGGCTCTTTACAGACGAGACAGGAGGGCAGGGCTGAGACTGACTGTCAATCATGGGGATGATGGCGGCGTCACCACCTGGTAAAACACAAGAAGATTCAGATGGATTTTGGCTTGTTTTTGGGGGATTAAAGCCATGTGAGGAGAATAAATGTAGCTGACAGCATCTAGATCAGCAAGGGAGACTCAAACTTTCTTTTTTGTAGGAACTAAAATAAACAAACTCTATCAAAATAAAAACATTTAAGATGAATAAAACAACAGGCTAATACACATGACAAAATATAAAGCTTGCTTTAAATCCTGTGGATCCTCTCGCATAAGTAGCCGGTGGTCAACCAGACAGCCAGTTAGCACACTGGACTCACAGGGAGTGTGACTGGTGAAGAAGAGGAAGACAACTCCGGGTCGAAGCCTCCACTTCCCCTGCTGATCTGCCTGACAAAACACAGAGCTGTCCCCACCACTCACGGCCCTGTTCAGCTCCTGGATCAGGTACCTACACACACACACACACACACACACACACACACACACACACACACACA